CAGGTAATTGGAAGGTTTGTATCTATAAAATATTATTTACTGACCGTCAACTTGAGGAGAAATTCTTGTTTTCGTCGAGAGTCCATTAGCAATGCGAATGCATATATATAGGCGCGCTTGAGTGGTCGTTTGGCTATCACGTTTACGCTCACTGCCCTATGTTGAAAATAAATAAATACACTCTAAATACGTAGTATTTATAAAATGTCTATGTAGATAACAGGTAAATATGCAAATAGTGCGAAATTAAAGATACGCCTTCGCCAGGTATCCAGTTTAAATCTACAAATTGCTGTTAAAATTTTTCTGTTAGTAATATCGAAAAACGAAAACAAATATTCATCTTAAATACCATACAAATTTAATGTATAAAGGCATATTGCAGGCAATACTAACACGTATTTTTTTATTAATAGGAAATACAGTTATTTAGTTTCATAAAATATTCATATTTCTTATTAATAAAAAAAAATACGTATTAGTATTGCCTGCAATTTTATTTAAAATACATGTGGTATTTAAAATAAATCATTTGTTTTCATTTTTCTTTCTCATCAATAGAAAAAGTTTGACAGCGATTTAAAGTTTTACATTGGCAACCTTGGTAACGAGGGCATGCTAACAGCGTTTTAAAAACAACGAAGGTTAACTTTTTTAAAATGTCTGATTTAATTCCTTCAGAGGATAAAGTGAACTTGTGGATTAGTGATTTCCTGCAACTGCAATTTAATGACACAGAATTATATTGTACAGTATGTAAAAAAGTGCTTTCCTGCAACATCAAAGCAAACATTTAAACACATTTACTCAGTGTGTGAGTGGTAATGTTACTGACAGTGACAGACAAAGGCAAACAAATCTTAACTTAGATTTAGTGGAAATTTCTAAGGATATCAAGTATAGCTGACTTTTTAAATAGCAACGAAGTTGACTTTTCTACACAAGACTTATAAATGTGAAGTTTGAAAAAGTTTAGATATCTTAAGTATGCGCACAATACACAAAATGGATTATTAATGAGAGGCGCTGGAGATTAACTCCGGAACATTTACAACAAATATTAGGAACATAATTTTTCTCTTGTGATCGCTAGTTAAAAATATACAGGGTATGGCAATAGTGCGTCCGACTTCGATATCTCGAGTTCTACGATAGCTAGAAACTTGATTTAAAAACATGAGTAAATTAGACAAAAAAAGTTTATAACCGGAAATTGTTTTCGAATATACAGGGTGAGCCAAGACGATTCTACAGGGTCAAGTAACATTTTTTTAAATGAAATGCCATGTATATCAGAACATTTCTTGAAACTTCTTTGTGGTCTCCTTTCATTCCTGTATTATTATTGACTTTCTCCCAACCATTTGGATGTAATGATTTTTTTTTTGTTGAAATTATATCATTTACAGGTGTATATTAGAAATATCACTACAATCACAACTACCGATTTCAAGAAAACAGATGTTAGTACCAGTTATGAGACATCTGTGTGATAACACTCAGCCATTTTCACTTCCTAAAAATATACAGGGCGGCCGAAACAGATTTTTTAAATTACAACTTTTTGTACTGAATTTTCTCAATTTTTTCAAATGGAACAGCCTGTATATTTTTGGACAATGTGATGTAGGATTGAAAAACGAACATTTTTTTGTGACCATTTTCAATTTATTGAACAATAACTACAGAATTCAGCAGCAAATTAGGTATTATAATAAGCGTGTTACATGATGCCCATAAAAACATCACAAGGAAAGGATAACAAATGCTTTTAGAAGTGTCACTCCGGCAATTTTATGAACAGTAGAAACCTCATTCCAAAAACGCATAGAAATGTGTGTCAATCGAAATGAGCAACATGTGAAGCACTTTTTTATAATATCTCACCTTGAATTAGAAAAAATATATAAATTTTTAGTTTTAATGCTGAATTTTGTAGTTATTGTTCAATAAATCGAAAATGGTTACAAATAGCCATAGGGATATACATACAAAAAATGTTCGTTTTTCAATTCTACATCACATCGTACAAAAATATACAGGATGTTCCATTTGAAAAAATTGAGAAAATTCAGTTCAGATAGTTGTAAATTTAAAAAATTATTTTTGGCCAAACTGTATACTTTTAGAAAGTGAAAATAGCTGAGTGTCATCACACAGATGTCTCATAATTGGTACTAACATATATTTTTTTAAAATCGATAATTGTGACTAGTGACTTTTTTAATATACGCGTGTAAATGGCATAATTTCAACAAAAAAAATTATTACATCCAAGTGGTTGGGAGAGAGTCAATAATAATACAGGAGTGGAAGGAGGCCACAAATTCTGATATACATGGCATTCCATTTTAAAAAAATGTTACTTGACCCTGTAAAATCGTCTTGGCTCATCCTGTATATTCGAAAATAATTTCCGGTTATAGACTTTTCGTCTAGTTTATATATGTTTTTAAATCAATTGCCCCTCCCTGTATATGTGTTAGTATTGCATTCACCTCTTCGTCTTAACTTTGGATGTTACTGAACTCACCAAAATAACCACAAGGTAAGATAATTGCATGATTATTTACGCAGTGACACATCACCTGCAGTTCAACCCCTCAATTGACTCTATTTATCGCTACCTCCCGATCTCTACAATAACATAAAAAGGAAACTAGTCATTTTTAAAAATTTTAAATACATTTACTTGTATTTGTATTACATTTGCAATTATTTTAAAATTTTGAATTTTAGAAAATAGTAAATGAATTTCAGGTGTAATAAAAGTCGAATCATTATTAGGAAATAACTTAATTAATCTAAAATATAATTGCATTTTCTACGGAAGAAAAGGGAATGAAAAACTTTTACATAGATATGAAATACTATGTGCTTAAGAATTATTTAATAATGAAAGGGGTGTGAAATGCAACTAAAAATAAATATATCGTCAAATTTTGTCAAAATTGGTATTTATTTGAACATTTTAAAAATAACTGTAACGTCTTAAAACTATACATGTATAAAAATTTAACACTATTTTATACATCTATCTACACTTCTATTGTAGTAATAAATACATGACTTTAAAATAAAAAATAATGAGAAAAATATTAATTTATATGTTGCAACTAAATATAAACTCAATTGTACAGTGTTTCAAACTTGACGCCTTAGGTGATTATAAGAAAACGAAAAATGAAAATAAAAATTTGAATTTTGGGTCTCAAATAAGAGGTTCATTTTGCACCAAAATATATATATTTTTTCAGAATTCTGAAAGCGGAGATAATGACGTCATCAAATATTGTTTTGCCACGAATATACCTATATTTTGTCACCGTCAAGAAGCTCACATTTTTCTGAAATTGTCTATCTATTTTTGTTTAAAAGTTACAAGCCCAAATATTAATAAAATATTCAATAAAATCCTGAACGGTAAAATTAACAACGAAACTAAAAAAAAAGAAATATATTAATCTATTCTCTATATGAATCTCTCCTACTGCCAAATATAAATCTAATCTTCTAACCTCCCTTTTCATAGCTTTTCTTAGTATGTCACGAGTCAATTCTTCGCGTGCACTTTGTATTTTTTGTTTCAAGTTTCCAAATTTCTTGATATACTTTATTTTTAAGGGCCACCCCCCTCCCATAGAAAATATCAAGGGTAGTAAAGTCCGGCGATTTTGGTGGCCATTGTATCGGTCCAGTTATTCCCATCCACCTTTCCCCGTAAGCATTCTTCAAATATTGTTGGACAATACGTGCGTTGTGGGCAGGTGCCTCATCGCGTTAAAAGCGTATATTTCGTCGCAGCTGTGGAGACAAATTTGCAAGCAGTCTTGGAAGTTCTTCTTGGAGGAGATGTAAATAATTTTGACGGTTCAGCGCACACTATCACACTTAATTAAACAAGTTTTGACACTTGGAATGACAATTAAGACCTTAAGTCATGGCTAATACGACATATTTGTTTTTTTTTAGAATGTTTGGACTTGTAACTTTTAAATAAAAAAAGGTAGAGAAAATTTTTTTTAACAGCAATATTCAGAAAAATATTAGCTTTTTGACGGTGGAAAAATATAAGTATGTTCCTAGCAAAACAGTATTTGATGACGACCCCATCTCTGTTTTCAAAATTCTGTAAACATTTTTGGCGTAATTCTGAAAACATTTTTGGTGCAAAATGGACCTTAAGTGCTCTTATTTGAGACCCACAATTCAAATTTTTATTTTAATTTTTTAGTTTCCTCATATATTATGAGCCTGATTCGTCAAGTTTGAAATACCCTGTACAGAGGCCGAAAGGTCAAAATGGAGGCAGCTTCATTTGTTTAATTTGCGCCTCAATGGTCACTCCTACATAAAAAATGTTCTTTTTGTAGACAATTTAATGCTGAACACATTTAGTTAAAAACGTTTATCTCTATTATCTTTGTTTCAGAAGATATCCCAGATATGACTCTACTGACAAAGACTGGAGATTTCAGAAGAACTGTTTGCATCCGGTTGCAAGGTCCTCGTATTACCGGCATAGCATCTTAAAACTACAAGCATTGTGTAGAAGTAATAGATGCGGATTGACAGAAAATAAGCTTTGGTGCTCAGAAATGTGTCATAGTAGTAAACTGTACTTTAACCAGTTCAAGAGCCTTACACAGAATAGAAGAACAGTGAACAATGATCCAGATTAAATAAGTAGTAATACATTCTAAAAATTTTGTATCTGATGTCAACAACGTTCTCCGATTTTTTTTAATACCCCAAAACCAATAATAAAGATTACTTAGAAGAAAGAATCATCTCGGAATTTTTTTGTTTTAACGCCTTATTTATTTTAAAGTTTAACACATTGCCATTCCACCATTTAACCAGGATAGACATACACACAATAATTATTTCCTTCGACATTTCCCAGATGCAACAACGAACTCAAGAGAGATAGTAGTGATCTGCCACATAACATCATTTTAACCAGGTGAGTTAGCATTAAAACCGCCACTATACATCTATGTTCTAGCCAGGAATCGAATCTGGGACCTCTTGGTCTCAAGCCTAACGTATAAGAATTGAACCACTGAGTCGACAAAAAAAATAAGTTGAACATTTAAGATAGGCATAGCTGTTTGGCTTCGAGTCCGCTACGAACTTGGGCTTTGTATTTTTGATAATCGGTGACACTTATCCATGATATAATGAATGTCTTTAAATACTTTCAGCATATAAAAAAATGGTTTTACAAAAAAAACACTCTCAAGCAATTTTCTACAAAAAAGTTCTTTTGTATTTTTTTTTTCAAAAAAAACAAAGGTTTTTAGAAAATAAGTAAACAATATTTGCGCAGAGAATGTGAGATGCAGTCTTGCTTATTCTTCTATGAATATCTTTGAAATAGAAGATTACAGAAAAAAATCAGTATTAAATTATCTACAAAAAAGATAAGAAGCTGTTGTGAAGAAATTTATAGAAAACGGACTGTTTCCATTATAACTTAATATTAACAAAAAAATTATTGTCAAAGTAAGTATGCCAATATCCTGATTTCAAGAAAAAAATACTTACCATATGTCCCACCTTAAATAAATTATCAAAACATCGAGATTTCAACAGAGAACTACTTATTTTGTTATTTCAATGTGCCATCTATAATAAATTATCACTAATTCTGTGTAGGAAATAAATTATAAAAGTATTTTTGGAAGATGTATACAATTAATTTTTTTATCTAATTTTATATTTCTATTTGTAAAATAAAATAAATTGGATATTGAGAAATTATTTTATCACAAACAAATTATACAGTCTGTTTTCCTTATTCACCTCAGAATTTTTAAGACGAATTTATTTAAATTAGGTAACTGTTCTTCAGCAATATGTTTTCAGCTTTGAAAATTTCCGAATCAGCCAAAAATTATGTTGGTGTATTTTAATATCTTTTTAGACATTTTGAGGTTCGCTGGGATTAGAGAAAAGAAATAGGATATCAGACTAACTCCTTCTTAATAAACACAAAGATAAAACTTATTGTCCATAGCGGCTCATATTTTTGTTCTGCTCATTTTATAATGATTCATCTGATATATGGGTGTATCACAGAATTATTATTGGAAATTTTAGTTTTATGAGTGAAATAAATTTGTTTTTGTTACAATAAATCGGCTTGGTTGTATGATGCACAGACTGGCACAGTCCTTCCACACAGGCAGGCGGACCGAGTTAAAATCCGGACCCGACCACGTTAATGAAATATAAGTGGATGCTTGCAGCACCATCTTTCTGGACCAGTGTATCTGGGATATGAGTAAGTTAAATACACCCCTCACAATGAAGTGGGAGTTTCGTAAAATTACGAGATTGGGGTACCAGTGTTTACACAAGTATTGATGAGCTTATCTCCTCTCCTTTGTAACGAAAATAGACCCAGGATATTTATAACTCATTAAAAAAACCCTGAAACTATTTGATCCGTGTTTATCGCCATGGCAGTCGCGTTTGACCGTTATTGAATTCTGTTTAGTCACTAAGACACTTGTAATTTTGTTTATTGTAATCTTCCAGTAATAAATGATGTGATGTAATGATTTTACACCCCTAACACCATAAGATAATCGAAAGCGAAAATAATAATAATTTTGTTTTAAAATTAATATTAAAAGACAAATAAAAATTAATTTATACGTTTTTAATTGTCAACTCAACAATCTACTAACTTATTTGTGCATTTATGAACAAGTCACTGAAGTACAACACAACATATTAAAATTTTTTCTTTGGTTTATTAAGTTTTTCGAGGTATTCAAGGAATCTTCTCTGAATGAGAATTGTTAGCTCAAAATTTTTTATGATATAATTGATTTTTTCTACAAACACCATTAAAAACTAAATTTTTAACACGGCATACTTGAATTAAAAATGTAATATTATATAAACTCGCATTAAAAATGATCACATGATTTACTTTTTACACTAGTGCAAAAAGTAAAATGACAAGTCGTTTGTCACAATGGCATTTATATATTTAAACACAAAATAAACTTCTGTTTGATTTTCACAATTTTAATAAACTTTTTGACAATTGTTTCGCCACACAGTGGCTTCGTCGAAACAATTGTCAAAAGTTTATTAAAATTGTGAAAATCAAACAGAAGTTTATTTTGTGTTTATTGTAAAATGGATTTTCATCAAGTAAAGGTCGAATCAATCAACTATTTATATATTTATTAACAAAAAATTACAAGTTATTTAGAAATATTTATATTAATTGTGCAATTGGAGCAATTAGTAATATTTATCCCTTGTGAGGAAGCTACTTCACAAGAAGAAGTTGTTGAAGTTGAACTTCAAGCAGTGGAGGAAATACTATTTAGTTTTTCACATTTGACAAGCATGTGTCAAACAACGGGCAAACTTGATTTATTTATTTCATAAATCCTACAAACTACTAGAATTATGAGGTAACCATTAAAATGATTTGAAATCTTTTTAAAGAAATTTTATTGTTCTTTTAATGGTGTTTGTGGAAAAAACATTGTATGATACACGTGTTAAAAATGACTTTAGTTTGTTCGTGGAGTTGCTCCACTCGCTTACGCTCGTTTCTCAAACTACTCCACTCACAAAATAAAAAGTCATTTTTAACACTTGTATCATAAATAACTATTAATTTGTTCACCGTATTTTTAAATTTTTTAACATCACGATGAAGAGTTGCTTTGAAATGTTTTTACTACACTCAAATTTGATTTAGATCTTCTCACTTTAAGACATTTTATTGGTAGAATGATAAACTAAACCAAAAGTTTAATTTGTGGTTAAGTAAGTTAGAAATCTACGACCAAATTCCTTTGAGCTATTAAATATTGTATAGTGAAGATGCTAGATATATAAATACTGAAAATTCTGATAAGAATTTCCCCATAGATAAGAATGTACTGGTTCTTTAATGAAAATAAGATGGGGGTATATAGTCCAAAGTAATGGGAATCCAAGATTGCCGTTATAATTCAAAATGGCTACACGTTATCATCTCCAGATGACGCCAACTTGGTTGGCGAAACGGGCGTCAAGTGCAGTTTATAGTGTTTTGGTGTTCCGTGGAGAACTACGTCAGTGTTGACATATAAGTGGTCTTTCTTTGCACGTTTTTGTCGCAATTTTAGGATTTTATATTTGTGGCTCCTTTTTAAAATGATAAGATCGTTGAAAGAAGATTTCAATATTACTGAATAAGCTACTAATCTCTGCCATTAATTTTTTTCAAACACGAAAATCAAATATTTCCGCCTGCATTTACCAGTAATGGGGAATTTCGACCTAGCAATAAAGCTGACCTAGCATAAATTCTAGAGGATACTGTAGACATGAATGACCATACTTTTCCAAGATGCTGTGATGCTACAGTTTATGACGGTGTAGTTCTTACTAACATTTTAAAGCCACACTCCTCAACGACATTTAATGATTATTATATGAACACATTTCACCCTCACCCCCCTTTGTAAAGACATTGAAATTTTTGGATGTTGAAGAATTAATTTGATTTGGGATAGATGCATTACACCAAATGTTAAAGGTAAATCTAGACGGAAGATGGGAGCAGGAACCAGGAGACAAGTGCTTACATTCGTGATTTCACCTAAAAAATTCTGTAAAATTCAATTAAAAAAGAAGAGTTCTTTAGCCTACTTGGAACATTAGCTATAAATTCTACTGTAAACGTACAGGTTGTAATCACTGCAGGTGAATAAGTTAAAGAAAATATTATTACCCAGAGTTCCCTAATTGGTCTTACTTGCCCTACTCATGAAGAAGCTGAATCAAGGATAATACTGCATCTCCATGACATGGTACAGATTACAGATTTATTCTGGTTCATGTTATAGCTGCAGCAATTGGAAATGAAAAGGTTGCTGCTTTACCAGGATTTCATACTTTCACAGGCTGTGATAGCAATCCTAATTTCATAGGAAAGACAAAAAAACCTGGAAAACATGGAAGCTCTTTAAAGAAGCTACTACTGCATTTACATTCATATCATTAAATCATTATATTAGTAACAATACAAGTGTTAACGATGCAACACAAGAATTGTTCATGACCAAAAATCGTCTGTTTGAGAATCTACCACTCACAAAGGGTGCGTTACAATAACATGTATTACATAGTGCTTTCCAAGCTGTCTAGCTTGGGGACAAGCAAGGGGGGGACAAGCAAAAAAATGCTCAATATATGTTACATCCCCAACCGAATTTGGATGGTGGTTGAATGATTTATCATGGCAGATGAAATGATCGGATTTGCCATAACTTTCTTATTTATATAAAGAGCTAATCAAATGTACGTGCAAAATCTGTGACAACAGGTGTGGCTGCAGAAGTGTTGGCTTGTCTTGCACACTATTGTGCAATTGTAAGAACGAATGTGAAAAATGGTGTGGTGTCGGCCGATGTTTTTTAAAAAGCAATTTCCACATTTTGTAATATCTTGTATGATGTAGGCACATATACATTTTTTGTTAATAAGACGATATATTGAGTTCCCCTTTCTTTCACTATACCCACTATATGCGACAAAAATGCACCTCTTCTTAGCCTATTTTTGCCATGAAAAATTTAAACCTGGACCTCAAAAACATATAAATCGATACCAAACACTCTTTTGTGTGATGTGTAAAAAAGGTTGTAACAAAATTTCAACACGTGTTATCATTTTGAATTATAGCCGGATCTTGGATTCCCATCACTTTGGGCGATGCCTTTCATTGTATAACCATAAACTATATTCTTGCCAATAGTGACATTCTTATAAGAATTTGCAGTTCTTTAATAATTTCTGTTGTGTAGCATTTCCATTAGTATGTTTCAACAGAAAGTACATTTTCTGCCACTTAATCCTATATTTTGGCTAATGGATTACGATTAGATCCAATGCCAAAAAAAATCCTATGTTTGCTTGTAAATAAACTTAGTAATATGGTCAAGTTATTTGCAAAAACTAAACAAATTAAAAGTTCAATAAATGAATAAGAATTTAATTTAATGTCAGTTTTATGGTGCCCTATGTCGACATGTTTTAATTCCTAATC